GAGCCATCCCACAGCAGCGTGTCCTGCCTCCAGACTGCAGCTGAGCCTGCTCCCAGGTCGTGACTCACTGTAGAGCCATGCACAGCTGGATTTCTTCCTCCCCACCACCCTCTGGGCCCTGCAGACCTCTTGGCTTGCAGCTGAAATCCTGCAATGACATCCACTGCTCCTTCTCCATCTGCTTCTGCCAGAGCCAGCACCCTCTTTGACTGCATCACCCCATTGGACCTGCTCACCCCCAGCCCATCTGCAGAGCACTGAGGGTCCAGGCACTGGAGGAGACTTTGGCTGGGTGTCAGTCTGCCCCAATCTGAATCACGCATCAGTCCTACTGCTGAGCAGGGACAGTCCCATCCCACCATGGCGAAGTCCTTGCGTCATGTCGGACAAAGACATCCACCCTCGGGCAGGTTCCCAGGACAGTTTGGGTTCATCCTGTCCTATGCAGTTGGTGCTCCCAGTGCATCTGCTTAGTGTGAGTCTGGTGAGCAGAGCCTTTCTGCCTCTGATCTGCTGCTGAAACAGAAAAAAGCCAGAAACCCTCCTGCAGGACCTGCTGACACACTCACAGATGTCCTGGGATAAACAGATTCCTGTCTGCTCTTCACTTATTCATCTCATGGGCCTTTTCCTGAGCTGGGTGCTGGGTTCCCACCCCAGCAGCCGTTCCCCATGCTGCCCTATGCCTGTGAGGAGCTCAGCCTCTAGCCACACACCCAGCGATGAAGGCTTAGTAAATGGCATTCCCGTGGTGGTTCCAGGGCACCCTGTTTATTTATATGCACTTTGGGTTCATTGTTTTGCATCAGCATCCACCAGCAATTAATGCAGAGACATCCTCTCCAGAAAAACTCATTAGAGAATCCCTCCCAGGGCAGAGGGAAGGAAAGGCTGCTTAGACTGACAGATTTGTGAGTAGGAGACAGCAGGGTTATTAATCCCCACTTGTATGGCTTCCACTGCTTACTCCCATTTCTCTCCTTATCTTGTAGTAGAATTGTTCCCCTCTTGGAGAGCACCAGGGTTTTCTCAGCTGTGCCAGCCCCAATCTGCCCAGCCTGACTTAAAATGGGATGAAGAAATTTGGATTTTGAACTGGGGTTAGCTGGAGTTCAAACCTCAGCCCTGCAAACCTTTGGCTTTGCTCTGAACTGAGCTCAAACCTCAAGGGGTCTTATCCCGTTCACTGTTTCCATCGGAATTGGTGTGGCCAGTTGAGCTGGGAGGGCATGCCAGGAGCCCTGGGGTGCATCGCCTGTGCCCACCTCACCGTGCTGGCACCGGTGGGAGAGCTGGAGCTGGACCCACAAGGCCAGCTCATCCTGCACAGCACCAGCAGCACTGCGAGGGCTCCTGGGCTGGAGGGGCCACTTGAGCCATCTTCTGCCCACCCACTGCCCCAGATGGCATGAGGTGACCTCCATGTGTGAGGTCCAGTTTTCTTCCTGGCAGCCTGACACCGCTTTGACGGCCCTGCTGAGCCATGTGCGTATGGAGAGGACTTCTCAGGACTTCCTTTGCCAGCACTCAGTCAGTTCTGGAGATTAAAGAGTTAGCCAGTCGCTGCAGGCTCTTATTTCCCTTTCCACGCCATCCCGCTTCATCCCCCGGCTGACAACCCACACCCGGGCCTGGCAGCATGCCCCTCACAGGACACAGGACCCGGCTGTCCCCACCATGCGCAGGGAAGACCCCGAAGACCCCTCACTCCCACCCACTCAGGGCTCACTGCCATGAGCTTGGGGGCCGTTTCCAGATGTGAGTGCCTCACTGCAGCCGGCTGCTTTTTGCTTTCGCTCAAAACCAGGGTTTAAGCCGCCACGTATATAAAGAAATGCTCGTTATAATTATCTTCCTGGCACTATCATTTGTCTAAGCCCTTAGAAGAGGGCTTAGCTTCAGGCTACAGTGAAGAGCACTGAGCAATTGCCACGTTGTCAGTTAGAAAAGACGTGGTTTCTTTTCTCTTTTTTTTTTTCCCTCCCTAAAATTTTTTCCAGATGTCTCTTTTTTTTTTTTTTTCCTTAGGAGAAGTACCAGCAGCTGTACAATTTCAATGCGAGCCGTGACTAATCCAGTGCAGAGAGCATTCAACTCCTCGGGGTGCAGATCAAGCAAATGACACTTGGTCTTACGGGGATATGCGACCTCTGGAGCCAAACTGGGACCCAACGAGTGGCACTGAGCTGCACGTGGGAGCTATGGCCACATGTGGTGGGAGGAGAAGATGCTCCAGATGCCAGAGGGGGTTGGCTGTGCTAGAAGGACCCGTGTGGTCTTAGACACCGTCACAAAGCTGGACTCCGCGTGGAGCCGAGAGGGTCGTGTGGGTATTTATGGATGTCTATGACTGATATCAACATTCATATATCAGCACCCAGGGATGGCTTTTGAGTGGTGTGGAGCCAAGTAAAGAAACAGGTGAAGAAGACTTTCTCCTCTTGTTCTTTGCCACCAGCTTCCCGAGCTGTCTGATCACAGAGATCTACCGTCTCACTGGGAATTGAGGATGGTTTCTCACGGCCCCATTCCTTATCTTCTCCCTCCCCTTTCTGCTTTGTTTAATTTTGGTTTCTTGTTGGTCATGTGGCTGTTTAGTCTTACATCTGTTGCTTTCACATGCAGCAGAAGTGCTGCGAGGCCGGACAAGGACTGAGCTGATAAAGAATCACAAATCACAGAATAACAGGCGCCCTACAGAGCAAGGAGCCAGCACAGCCCGGCAGCTCGGGAGAGGCCAGTTCCTATGGTGACATCTACATCCCCAGCAACACCAAAAGGGAGAGTTAAGCACCCAGACTGGTGTTTCAGCCCATCTCACAGATAGCGTGTAATCATGAGGAGTGAACCCAAACCCCAAACAGCCAAGACAAAACATGATGTTGCATTTTGTTATGGTCTTGGGTGTCCTTCACCCAGCATCTGCAATCAGGCTTGTCCTCATTCCCACCGGCTATACAAGCTACCGCCTTTCCAGCAGCTCCTCGGAGAGCAACCTTGCATCGCCCAGGCCAGGGTGAGGGTAGGTGATCACAAGCTGCAAAGAGCTGCGCTATCTGCAGTGCTCCGGAAAGCCCTCTGTGTCATGGAGACAGGGATGCCCAAATTCCATAAATTGGCTTCCTCTCTTTTTGGCATCTGGTTTTACTTCATAATGCAGAGCCGTGGCCATGCTGGTGCATAAAGGTGTGCTGTCCAGCTCTGCCAGGGGAGCAGATGAACCTTAAATCCTCTCAGTCATGGTGAGATTCAAGGAGACGGGAGCTGGGCTTTCACCCCGAGCATGGAGGGAAACAGCTGGGAAAAGCCGACTCCAAAGAGCACTGCTGCCTGGCTGCCCCTGGCTGGGCAGCTGCTCCAGCTGAGTTATGATTTGTAAGGTACTTAGGTCTCGTCTGAAGAGACCATCAGCTTCAGCTGGCCAGCAATTTCAGCTCTGGTTTTGCTCAATCAGTCCAGATCTGATGGACGTAACCTCGGCAGAGAGACCAATCTGCTAAGGGTCACATCTCCCAGCCCAGCTCTTCTCTGCCTCCTCGGAGCATATTTCAGACATGGCATAACTCTCCACAGTCTCTGGATCATTCTTTCCTCTCCCTCCCCACAAGGCAGTCCCAGATGGCAGCAGTGTTAGGAGGGAGGATGGAGAAGCAAGGACTCTCCTGCCTCCCTCTGCATGCCCCCAAGTCTGAGGCTGAGAAACACCAGTTCAGGGGCTGAACTACCCCCTTGAGAAACGACAGCACTTAACACTTTAACTGTAATAGGTGAAGGTGCCAGGAGGTGCACAAACCAAGCAGAGACATGGTATTCCTCCCTCCCCCCTACATGCTGTTAGTGCAGGAGAGCCAGAGAACTGACAAGCTCGTTGCAGCAGTGCAGGCAGCTGCTGTGGCAATGACTCCCCTGGGAAGGTTGTGCTGGGGGCTGGTGGGTCCCTGCGAGAGACCCCCTTGATCTCCAGCCCCACTTGATTTCTCTGGTCTACCCTTTGGACCCAGGCTGTGCCTCAGCCCCCGTCTTTGGTGGGACTGCCCACTGGGGAGAGAGGGAGAGGAAGAGACCGATTTGGAAAGATAGCGAGGAGGAGGAGAAGCAGCGGGAAACCCAGCCCACCCTTTGGCTTCCTCCTGCCTCCTTCTAAAACCTGCAGACTCCTCCAGCCCATCCGAGCGCCCGAAGTTCCCTCAGCCCTGCTGCCGGGACCGCGAGGTATGGCCGAGACCTTCGTGTTTGCCTTCGCCGCGCTGTTTCTCCCGGGATAGGGTCCCCATAGCCTCACTCACGAGGCTCCCTGGCCCTTGGCGTGTGCCCGGTGCTCAGCGATGCCTCGCTCAGGGTGGGGAGGTGGACACTGCCCACCCCGAGTGATGCATTTGGGGACCCCTCCTGACTTCTTCTCTTTCTCCTCCTTGCAGCATCTCCTAAACTGAGCCTGTTACTCTACTCCAGCTTACCCGCTTTAGCGCTTGGGTGACATCTGACTGCAAAGGTTTAACCTGCCCCAGTTTTTCCCTCTCCTCCCTTTTTCCCCCTCTGGGTGTTCAGTTGCGGGGTATTTCCGTAGGGAGGTGCATGAGACCAACGTCTGGGCACATCAAACCAACCTGCCGCGCAAACCAGATCTAGTTACAAGCCCGTCCCGATTACGCCCCGTCTGAGGTGCGTTGGCAGGTGATGTTTTACTCACCAGAATATCTAGAGGAAGAACAAAAGAGCTGTCGACTTCATCTCAGCTTTTGGGGGTTTTTTTTCAGTACAGCTGCTCTTATTTCTCCTAAAAAAAAAAAAAAGACACTCGGCTTTTTGTTCCAAGCAAACTTTGAAACCATTTCAAGTCCTGCTGCCCTGGTTTGCTGAACGCCAGCTGATCGACTGCTAGAGGGACAGAGGTTGCAGGAGAGGAGGAAAAAAACTCTTTGGGGGTTTATTTTTTTTTAAAGTTTTAAGAACTTGGGCTCAGTCAGGCACAATTTTTGGTCCACGCAGAAGAGCCGTGGGCTTGTTTCCTTTAAAGGCAGCTGCTGTCCTTCCCGTTGACATGCGTGGCAGTCCAACTCTGCTCTTTGTGTCCCTCCTCTAAGAAAGCTCCGCTCTGTTGCGTCCAGCCAAGGAAAGGAAAGTTAACAGGATGGGGGCTGAATTCCCACCCAAACCGAAAGACAACAGTTTCAAGTTGGAGTGAGATGGGGAGCAGCGGGAAGGTCGCTGGCGCACCGAGCCCCCCGTTACCACCAGTTTGAAACTGCCCAAAAACTCAGCAACCCCGCAAAAGGGCAGAAGTAAACCTCAGCCGTTCGTTGGGGTCGATTTTAGGTGGAAATAAAAGGCTGTCGCGTTCCGCGCAGCGGTTAAAGCCAAGCTATTGTCTGCCACATAGGCAGAGCAGGGATGCGGGCGGTGTTGGGAGGGGGAAGAAGAGAAATAAACTTTTCAAACTTTTTTTTTAAGCCCCTCCTTCCACAACCCTCTGCTCTTCCATGACTCAGCCCCAGAGGAATGTCGGCTCCCATGGAAACCCTTTCTGGGTCCTCTGGTCGGAGGGATGTCGGGGCTGTTATCGCTGGGGCGGCTGGGCCAGCCCAGGGAATGCTTTGAAGAGGGTTTGCATTTTTGAAGAATATTTAGCCAACAGTTTCTTCCCTCTCTCCCTTGTGGAGCTGTGCATCCCGCGGGAGCCTGAGGGACCGCTTGGACCTGGCAGAGGAGTATCCAGGCTGCTTTTGGCACTGCCCAATGTCCAGTCCAAACGAAAGAAAAAGCTCAAGCAGGACAGCAAAATGCTGTATCGCCTGTCCTTCCAACTGAGGTCTGCAAAGGGCTCATCAGTGATCCACTGCCTGCAGCCCGGGCACTTCTCTTGGTACTAATGTAATTGTTTCCCATTACGGATGCCATTTGCAACCCAGACAAACTCTGACAGCTTCAAGGCAGCACACAGCTGTACTGGTGTCTGGGCTCTTGCCCTTACGTCAGTAAGACTGTAAGATCTGAAGCATTTATAAGCATCGTCAGATCAGGCCCCTGCAAGGGGAATGGGTTAATACAGCCTCATGGTGTAGACATCTCCTTAGTGACTCTGCAGGGACAGATGTGGCAGATAGATCTGGTATTTTCCTGTGTTTCTTTGGAGTGTGTAAGTATGTGCATGAGTTAAAGGGAATTTCACTTCCATCTAAGCTTAGCTTGGCTTTCTGAGCCTGCACGCTGCGTGCGAGGGGACTGCGCAGGTCCGGGCTGGCTTCTGCCCCGTCCTCTGCTCCTGCCCTGGCACCCAGTGCGGCTGCAGCACATCTGGGCAAGCCCGCACGCCCAGCAGCACAGCCCAGACACGCAGGGACCTGTTCAGCCGGGAGCTTTATGGGGACTCGCGTAAACAACTCTCACTTCAAATCGCAATTTTAGCCCAGGAGTGGCTGAGTAAAGCTGAGAGGGTCCTGCTTGCATGGGGAGGTCAGGGCCAGGCAACGGGGTCACAGCCCTCTCCTTGCATCTCTGTGGTGGTCACCCATCCACACCTTGAAAACCACGGCCCGCCACCAGCGGGGTGTGTAAGCAGGAGCTTTTTTGGGCTGGTCCTGCCTTTACATTCAGAGCGAGGTGCTGGGACATGTCAGACCCTGCAGAGCCTTGGGAAGAGCAAACGGAGGGTGGGTACAGGAGAGCCTGCCACGCGGGCTGGCTGCCTCCTGCGTGGCCAGGCTGGGGTGCGGGTGGGAAGCTGAGAAATGAGAGGGCTTTTCCCCAAGGATTACCCACTCCTGCTCTCTGCTGCTGGCAGTGGGAGGTGGCAGCAGGACCCGGGATCAGTTAGCAGTGGAGGCAGCTGGGGTTATCCCAGTGGCCTCAGGGAGGAGCTGTCAAAGTGGCCACGCAGAGACTCCTCCCCACGCTAACGTGGCACCCCAAAGGGCTTATGCAACCCTGGCCAGGGCCAGCGCCACATCGGCCACGCTCCGCCATCCAGGAAGCCTCCTTTGGCGGCTGCACCCACCTGGTCTTTGTCCTCCCCCAGCCCACAGAGGCCCCAAGGCTGGGTGAGAGGGGACAAGACGGTCCAACAGAACCCAGTGGCACAGACCCTGCTGCGTGCATATTCCCCAGCAGGAGAAATTGATGATGGATTGGAGGGAGGGAGGTAAAGAGTTTGCCAGAGTAGCCTGCTTTGAATTTATGGAGGTGCCGAGAGTCAGTCTCAAACCTCCCTAACCCCATGGCTCTTCTGTCAGATATGTCTACCCAATGCAATGAGCAGCCAGTGCTGAGCGATAGCCTGGGCCACGCTAGAAACCCTCTGAGAGGGATTTATGGGAGCCACAAGACTCTGTTTACACAGTGACTGGGAGCTGAAGTCCTCCTTTAGGATGCAAGTGGGGTCAAGCACTAGAAAGGCAGTGCAGGCCATGGGTCCTGCTGCCCCTGGGTGCCAGGCTGTCTTCTCCATCATCAGCTGTGAGGAGGGGGTAGTGACTGTGGAGGCTTCTCAGAGTTTATATTCAGCAGCCTCTCTGTGCCTGCGTTGTGCTGGTTTCCAGCATCTTGCGAATGCTGGCTTCTGTTGATTCTTTTAGGAAGGGTGTAAGTCCCTGCTTGCTAAAATCTTTCCTAGTCCTATTTTCCTCTGTCCAAAATGACTCCCTGCTGCACCCCATTGCTCTGCTCCTCACGCTGCCCTCTGCCGGGCTCTTGCAGAGTGGTGCCAGGCATTCCCTGTGCAGGGCCCCTCGCAGGGATCCCCCCAAGCCCCTCTGGCTGGGGGATGGATGCTGAGGTCACGATATGGCCCAGCTGCCAGCTCCAAAGAGCATCCTCTTGGACAGCAGGACCATGGTAGGTGCACAAAGAGGGAGACTTGCACCCTGGGCCAGACTCTTCTGCTGGAGCAGCGCTGTGCGCAGGGCTCCTGAGCCATTATTTCAGGATTTTTGGCCACCAGGCATTCAGGAAAGACCATGCCTTTGCAAAACAGCCAGGACTCACAGACGCTGCAATGTCCTCTGTCTGCAGGCTCTGCCTCCAGGAGGATGTTGCTTTTCAAATAAATTTGTTTTCCCATCTCCGGCGCGAGACAGCTCTGCAGAGCTTGTTTGCTGAGACTCTTTCGTGCTCCTTCTTCCTCCAAACACAACACTGGCAGCTCTGACTGTCTGCTGGCTCCCAGCAAGCATCTAATTCCCTGACCCCAGCTTACTGCATGCCCAGACTTTGAAACTCAGGTTTTTTTGGGGACTTGGGGAAATGATCTGAAATGGCCTGGGTCTGGGATTGGGTTCTTCTTAATGCCATTTTCCACATGTACATGCACTGCCCTCTCCTCCAGGCTGGGCACTGCCGTGTTTCTGTCCAACGAGCATCACTGAACCTCAGAGCATCTTCCAAAGCAAACAAGCCCCTTGGGAGAAACCCAGGAGGAGCCTTTACAAGCCAGGGGATGGCAGCAAGGGGAGAGATGGCCAAATTCACCAGTACTTTTCCACCTTCCCTCCCCCACAACCACCCCTCCAGAAGTGAAGAATCAGTGATCTCTCCTGGAAAATGCCAGGAGAGTTCTCAGCAGACTCCAGAGCAAATAAAGGCAAGGGGAAGGGACAGGATGTACCGAGCGGGAGAGGAGGGAGCTCCTCAGCTGCAGCCTCATCAGAGAAACAGGCTCATCCACCCCCACCTACATCCCTTCTCCCCATAGGTCCTTCATCCCACCATGGCAGCTGTCCTCATCACCCTGCGCCCCTTCCCAGCCCTCGAGGTCTCCGGGAAGCTGCCCTCCGTGCCCTGACACTTATTTTGCACAGGCACCCAGCCGGGGCTGGCTGAGGCTCTGAGACTGGCAGGAGGCTTTCAGCCTCTGCATGGCCAAAACTTGCTAAATTAGGAAGCACAGCCCAGCCTGGCCAGTGCCCCAGCAGCATTGGTGTGGTTTTATACCTGGGGAGCCGCTGTGCACAGGGACAAAGGGAAAGGATGCACAGGCAAATCAAGTATCTATCATGCTTGCTGGGAGAGAAGACACCTTGTCCAACGCTTTCTATCCCAGCAAAGCCATCCATCCTCCCAGCCCCAGTGGGCTGCGATGCCCTGGCCATGCAGGTGGAGTTGGGGAGGGCGAGCGGAAGGGAAGCAGCGGAAGCCTTGGCAGAGGGACAAGTCCCCTCGCTGGCAGGAGACAGACCGGGGGTGTTTCACTCTCCTGGCAGCGGAAGAGAGCAGGCAGCCCTCGCTGTCAGGAGTGGGATGCCAAGGGCATATTAAGCAGCCAGCTGAGCTCCTCTCTACTCTCACACAGAGGGGCTCAAACCTGCCAAAGAGGAAGTGGGCGGGAGGGGAGACAAGGACAGGGCGATTTCACCAGCTGGGCTCTCCTTCTGGCTCGCATCGCCGCTGGCTGCCTGGATCCCTCGTCCTACGGAGTCCCTGCAACAGCCCATGATGGGAGGGTGCACAGGGCTCATCCTCCTGGAGCTCATCTCCGGGCAGGACACAACCCCAAAGAGTCCTGGATCCCTCAAACCCAGTTTGGCGACCCTCAGGTCTGAACAGGAAAGGGAAAAACTGTAGCAGAGACCCCCATATCAGAGGTGCAGGGGACAGGTCACTGGTCCCTGATACCATGAAAGATGTCTTTGTCCATGTAAGGAGGAGTTTTCTACAGGATTTATTTCTCAAGTGTCCTATCTCACTGTCTCTCTGTTCTCTCTTTCCTTCCTCCACCTTCATTTTTCCTCTAATCGACAAATAAAACAGTAGAGAGTTTCACTGCCTGTACCTGGGGCTCGCATTAGGGTCTTTTAACATGAAAAATTTTTTTTTTTGGTCCAACAATCACCTGTGAAGGATAGGGGAACTGCAATTTTAACTGCAATTTTTCTAAAGACATCCAAGATATCAACAGAAATCTAAACCTTTGCCATCCCATTGTACGAAATGCAAAGAATTTGTCTTGGAAACATGATTTGGCTTAAGGTTTCAGCTAGAAACGCCAGCATGTGGGTCTGTAACACTGAACAGGTGAGGCAGGAATGGAAGAGAATGTCCTTTTCTAAGTGCCGGAATGCCAGCCGTGAGCTCAGCCTGGAGCGAGCGGCAAGTGGCAGCCTCCTTCCTCATCCCTCCTTTTCCTCTCCTTTATTCAGGGTTTGCTGAAAGATGAGGGCCTGGATTTTTTTCCTTCTCTGCCTGGCAGGCAAAGCCCTGGCAGCTCCGGTAAGTACGGGAAATAACGGAACCTCTCTGCTCTCGGGGCTGTCAGTCCGAGGGACAGGGAGCAGTGGGGAGAGAGGAAAGCAAGGGTGGTCCTGCCACCTGCCCTGGTGGGTCACCCCCTTGAGACCATCCTCCCCACAGGCCCCAGCTCATGGTCCTTTTCCCCTGCAGCAGGAGGCTCTGCCTGATGAGACAGAGGTCATTGAAGACCCCACCACAGAGGTAGGTGACTGCTCCTCGTCACCCATCCCTTGCAGCACCCACCGCCCTTGGAAGAGCATCTCTGAGGCACGGGGAAGCGGGGACAATGGGGAGGCTGCTCTGTGCTCCCTTGGGAATGGGACACAACTCTTTTGCACCCCTACCAGAAACACTGACCTCTTTTGCAGGAGCCCGTGGGGGCTAACCCTGTCCAGGTGGAGGTGGGAGAGTTCGAGGAACCCATAGTGGATGTAGAGGAGATTGTCGCTGAGAGTAAGTCACTTTTCCCTCCTGCAGGCAGAGACACCGTCCCTTCCCTGGGTCAGGGGGCTTTAGCCACCCCAAACAGTGAGGGACTGCTTAAAAGCAAAAGAGGTACACGATCTCTTTTCTGCACTGGATTCTCCGTAACCCCTTTTTTTCAACATAAAAGCCACTGGATGTGTGGCTACAGAAAGGAGCCCTGGATTAGCCCACGGGCTAATGTGGGTTTTGGAGACCCTCACACCTTCCCAATGCAGGATGAGATGATTAGGGCTGTCCCTAATGAAATGTCTGTCTTCCCTCTGTGCTGAGATGCCCCAGGGAGCTTGTGGGAGGTGAGGATGGGGCAGGCTCTGACTTTGCTCCCTGCCCTCTCCCAGACCCCTGCCAGAACCACCACTGCAAGCATGGCAAGGTGTGCGAGGTGGATGACAACAACTCGCCCATGTGTGTGTGCCAGGACCCCTCCAGCTGCCCAGCCACCGCCGGCGTCTTTGAGAAGGTGAGGGCACTCGGGGCTCTGCACCGGAGCAGGGAGGGACCTCACCTGGGACACTGCCAGAGATGGCAGGGGAGACAGAATCAGGGTGGCAGATCCCCATCTGACCAAGGAGTTGTTATCCACCCCAAGAAACAAGTTAAACATCACATTTAGAGACTCTCCCTGCTGCTCCCGCAGCAGCACTGGGCTTCACTGTCCCTCACACAGCATCTCCTCGTCCTGTGCAGGTCTGCGGCACCGACAACAAGACCTACGACTCCTCCTGCCACTTCTTTGCCACCAAGTGCACCTTGGAGGGAACCAAGAAAGGACACAAACTGCACCTGGACTACATTGGGCCTTGCAAATGTAAGTGGAGCCATTCCCTTGGGCAAGGGGACCCTTAACCTGAGCACAGACCCCTTGCCCATGGGCTGAGGGAGACCAAAAGTCCAGGCAGATGTAGGGCTGAGGTGGGAGGGCACCGGGGCTGCGTGTCTGGGGCTGCATGTCCGGGTGCTGTGCTGACCCCCGGTATGGCTTCCAGTCATCCCCGCCTGCCTGGACACAGAGCTGACCGAGTTCCCCCTGCGCATGCGGGACTGGCTCAAGAACGTGCTGATCACCCTGTACGAGCGCGATGAGGACAACAACCTGCTGACGGAGAAGCAGAAGCTCAAGGTGAGGGGTTGGGGAGGGAGCTTGGGAGTGTTGTCCCAAGAAGTGGGACTCACCCCACCAATAGAGCTCAGCACACGTGAGGAGCCCATCCAGAACGACCTATGGGCACCCCGTGTAAAGCCCCTCCTGGGGCCCCGCCTTGCACCCCATTATCCTGCTGACAAGGTCTCCCTGGCCTCTCCTATGACAGGTGAAGAAGATCCATGAGAACGAGAAGCGCCTGGAAGCTGGTGACCACACCGTGGAGCTGCTGGCCCGCGACTTTGAGAAGAACTACAACATGTACATCTTCCCCGTGCACTGGCAGTTCGGGCAGCTGGACCAGCGCCCCATCGACGGGTGAGTGTCAGCAGAGCAGGACAGAGACCCTCGCCAGCACCCTGTCCTGCCCGAGCACCAGGGCGATTCGGTCACAGAGATGTGGCACAACTGGGTGGCTGGTGGCAGAGCCACAGGCAAAGCCCTGTGGAGGGAAAACCCCTGCACACATCTGGCAGGGGCTGGGGCAAACCAGGCTGGAGTAGAGGCGGTTCTGCCTTCTGCAAACAGCTCTTCTGCAGAAAGAAGTCTCCCCCCAGCCCCAGCTGCTCTCATCTCCCTTGGGTGTGGAGTTTCTGTCTTCTCAGATTTACTGTCGTATGATAGTTCCCTAAAATATCTTAGTGCAAAGGCACCAGGATAACTTGAACAGCTGAAACAGCAGCTGCCGGCTGAGCCATGAGCTGGAGATGGGCACGAGAGCCATCACACACAGACCCAAGGGGTGGGGGCAGCTGGTGAGGACCCCCAGCTGCTGGCTATTTTGTGACCAGCACAGCCGGTTGCAAAAGCAGACACCAGTCCTTGACCTTCACGAGGCTCAGTGGTGGACACTGGGAGGGTGCTGGGACAGCAGCCAAACCAGACAGAGAGCTGGGGCCAGCATCTTGCCCCGCGCTGGCCCCTGCCCCCGGCAGAGCATCTCCCCTCCTGCGGGAGGATGGCTGGCAGTGGCGGGACGCACATTGACCATGTGGTCACCTCGACAGGTACCTGTCCCACACCGAGCTGGCCCCGCTCCGTGCCCCCCTCATCCCCATGGAGCACTGCACCACCCGCTTCTTCGAGGCTTGTGACCTGGACAATGACAAGTACATCGCCCTGGAGGAATGGGCCAGCTGCTTTGGCATTAAGGAGCGTAAGTACTGAGTAGGGAGGGAACGGGGGGAGAGGGGACACCGAAAAGCACCCCCAAAGTCCCTACTATGGATGAAGCAATGCATTACGGCCGGTCCTAGAGAGAGAGAGTGGGGAGGGCAGATCACAGGAGCAGTGGGACCCTGGGAGCATCCGCGTCAGCATCCACCTCCTAACCTCGTCTCTCTTTTCCTTCCACAGAGGACATAGACAAGGATCTTGTGATCTAAACCCCTAGCTTCCTTCTCTGCTGCCAACTTTGTCTTGTTTTAACCTTCCCACTTCCTTCGGTTCTTAAACCGCTTTTGTTTCGTTTTTCCCTGGGAACAAGGTGCTAATATAGATCTAAACATATGTAGTAACGGTGCTAAGAGAAATAACAGTCCTCCTTCATAGCCTAATCTGTTACCACTAGATTACTCACCCGGCTGTTTCCGCACGCTCTTACCAGCCCTTTCTCTCCCGGACGTGTCTTTACCATTGACCGACCCTGTTCCTGTCCTAAATATCCGCTCCGTCTCAGTATCCACTCTCGGATCGACTCCTCTTAACTTCTTACTCACGGCACGTTTTGGACACGTCAGCGTAGCTGCAGAGACCGCTCAGCTGATCCCCCCCAGTCACAGACCGCCAGCGAGGGAAGGCAGAGCCAGAGGATGTAGGAGGACCCGGCTTTTCGAGCAGACCCGCTGTGGGTGACACCACAGTCACCCAGCTCATGGGAGGAAGGATGGGGAGGGGTGAGAAAGACATAGAGTGGCAGGATTTCATTTTCCCTTTTTTTTTTTTTCTTCATTCCCAGGGCTTGAATTTAACAATCATTGGGCACAAAAAAAAAAAGGGGGAGGGGGGCAACAAACAAATAGGAAAGCGCACAAAATTTAAAACAAATAAAAGGAAACACATCCCATCCTGTAAAATCCCCTTGGAAAATAAAGGTTTGAAAGTGCTACGTGCTTTACCATTACTCAGCGACCGCACTGCTGTTGTGTTTTCTGGGGTGCGGCCGGGTTCCCCCGGGGGGCACGTGGCTGACCTTGCTCTTGCGATTCTGCCGGAGCTGAGAGAACGCGCTTGGCTCTCCCCAAGTCGCGGTGCTCTGGAGCGCTTCCCACCTCTGCCTTGGTCGTGCTCAAACTCCAGCCCTGCTCTCCCAGGGAAGCTGTGTCAGGCCTGGAAGGGACATCTCTGCTCAGAAAGAGGTGTGCTTGCCACACGCTCGAGGGAAAGGCTGTAATAATTTTTTCTTGTCGTGGATTTTGGGGTTTAAGGGATGTGCGGGAGGGAAGGGAGAAGGTATTTGGATTTTGCTTTATAGAGAGGGTCCTAACAAGAGGAAAGGGATGGTTAAGTCTCACAGGCTGAGAACTCCTTTTTTTTTACGTCTGAATGTTCCCTGTGCCTTATATTATTAAATTCCTGCCACAGTGTGAGCAACCTGAGTCTCTGTAATAAAAAAATACTGATTTGAAACACTGACAATAAAAGAGCTTGCAATGTTCCTCTGTTTCATCCCATCTCGATGAGGTGGGGTCACATGCATCACCAACCCCAGGGATGCATTCAGGGTGTCACACAGGCACCCCAGACCCAGGGAAAGGTCTGGCCCAAGGGAAGCTGAGGTGCTTCTGCCAGTCACAGCCTGTCCCCTCATGCTACTGGGGCTTGTTGGGGACATTGGGTGGGTAACACATGGGCAGATGGAGCAGAAGAGATGGAAGCAGACAGGGTCGGACATGGCCCTTGCTTTCATGAGCAATAAAATCTCTGGAAAAGAGAAAGGAGAAGAAGGAAAATAACAGGGGAAAAAAAAAAAACCAAACCAAAACCAACCAAACCACTGCTGTTTGCACAGGCTAAAACCATCCATGTTGCAAGAGCTCTGGTTGGGCTGCAGGTGCCCCTGTTAACAGCCCCTGGCTGGATGTGCTGGGCTCCAGGCGAGCTGCAGGGGCAGCTCCTGCACAGGGTCGCTCCCAGCCACAGAGCCCTGGGCAGGTCCCATCTGGACGGTCCCTTTGCCAAGCTGTTTGAACCCAGGGCAGAGCTGGTGCCCTGGAGGACCCCGTGAAGGTTTTCCACCCCAGCCTTGAACTCCAGGGCTCATTCCACCCAGCTACAATGCTTCCCAGAGCCAAGATGCTTCCCAGCTGTTAGCCAGAGGGGGTTTTCTCGATGGAGGCACAGAGAATGCCTCCACATCTCAGGGGCTGCCACCACGATTTGGCAAGATCCAGCTGGCCAGCCATTGGCTGCCGAACCACCTCAAAGATGGAGAGGGTTTGGGCAGGGAGAACAGGAAGGCAGGCAGGGACCAGGGGAGATCAGCTGCCCTGTGCAGACCTACTTTCCAGTTGCTCCCTCTCAGCCAGAAACCCCCACTTGTGCTCCTCCGCCAAGACGCAGCCGTATTCCTTCCAGCTCCAGCCCTCCCTGCCAGCACCGCTGGACAGACAGAGGTGGCTTCATTCCCATGGAAGGGAAAGGCTTTCCAGCCTTCCTCCACTCTGCCTTCTCCTCTCGTGCAGGGATCCACTCCAAATCCCAGCAAGCTCAGGGAAGTCACGAGGCTCCACCAAAAGAGCCGGTTATCACGGCTCAGGAATGGGAAGGGATCCATTCCTAAGGCCATGTCCCATCCCAGGGGATATGTTCCTACAGCCTGGCAGAGCCCAATGGACCCAACACGTACAAGTGCAGCTGTCCTGGCTCTGAGCATCAAAGCCAGCTCAGGAGGTTGCAGCTGGGCTTCCCTTAACCCTTCAAAGGTCACAGCCTGAAGTATCAAGTTGCTGGAATTTCACTGCCTTGGGGCAAATGCCATCCATGGGGTTACATCAGGACTTGAGGAATAAGCTGGCCTTTTTAAACATTCAGACCTAGACGGTCAGCAAGGGTGGAAGAGAACAGCCCTTTCCCTGTTACAGCCAAAATCGACCCTTCCACTGCCTGCACGGCAGTAAAGAAACTCGCCTGTACTTTCCAAGTGGAAATTCTCCCTGTGGTTAATGCTGACTGAGGACACAGTTTGCAAATTGGGGGGAAAAAAAAGAAATAAAAAAATAACAGAGAGCTCTGGATCCAAAACCAGCCTGACCCAAGCACTGCAGTGCATCAGCAGGCAGAGGGGTTAATCTTGCTGTGGTTATTCAGGGCAGCACCACTGAGCGGCTCCCTGAGCGTTGTCCTGCCTGTGCTCAGCAGGGAAAAGATGGGAAAGGCAGAGATCAGTGCCTTTCTGTCTGTTTTCCTGACCCTCACTTTTATGAAAGAAGCTTACCGTGGCATAAATGCTGCATTAAGGTTTGCGGCTTAAATATCCAAAACGCAGGTCATGCCCCCCGGGGCTCACTGCAGATGGGGGGAATCTCATCGTGACGCAGTGGGTCTGGCACAGGATGGCTCGCAAGGTGCTCGGTGGGGATAGCGCCACGACCACCTCCATCCCTCTGCCCCTCTCCAGCTTAAGCATCTCCCAAACTGCCCCTATTCACCGCGGAGCCTTCTTTTGGCTTAAACCAACCTATTTATTTCCAAGCCGGATAAAACCAAACCCTGCCTCCCATGAAGAAACAACGCCAGGGAAAACATTTCAGGGGATGCATCTCCCGGCAGCCAGCCTTGGGGAGAGCAGGAGGGAGGCAAGACACCCCCCCGGCTCTCCTCCAGCCCCAGGCCAGCTCCAGCCCCGAGCCAGCCTCAGGCCGGCTCCAGCCCCGAGAACAGCGGCAGGGCAAGGGATGGGCCCGGCGTATCTCTCGGGCTCATTTCCCGCGGCTCCGCACCTCAGCAGCGGCGAGACGCGGATGCAAAATGCAGCCGTTGACGCTGTCGGTGCTACGTCCCTGCCACACTTGGCCGTCTCGTCACACCTCAAGGTTCCCAAGCCCCCATCCAGCCTTTCCAGAGCCATAGCACATGTCAGTCTAAAGGACACGTGGCTTATATGAGCCCAGGCTTTGCGTTTTGCTGAGCAGTCTGGCAGGCTCCGTACCATTCCCCCTAATTTTCGAACCTACTGGCTAGTTTTAACTTGACTTGATGCATAAAACCGCAAAGACATCGTGTTCCTCCAGGGAGCGTTAATACAGAGCGAGGACACGCACATACGGACAAACATTGGCTGCACAGTGGTGCTGAAGACAACAGGAGCTGGGCTACGTCTGCCTCCCAGATGCTCTGCTCAAGGTAATTGCACAGCAGGTAATTATTTGTGTCAGGGACTCCCCAATTCCTGCGTTGGCCATGGAGAAGTTACCTTATTTTCTGTTTCATGGCCTACCACATAAACCATGGCCATTTCCCAGTTAAGCCCACTTTTTTGTCAGCCTTAGTGGTGTTTCTGTGATTCTTAGGAGCACCCTAAGTCTGTGATTCTTGGGAAACAACTTGCCCCAGGACACATTTTTATGTGCATTCCCTACATTTTTCTTAATTTCATATTCTTTTTGATCACTGCTTCACTTGGGCGCAAGAGACTACCCAAGTCTCATTATTCCTTGTCCAAACATCTCACTGATCACCTTTACTGCCTGTGTTTTGGAGACTTTGCTGCCGTCAGCTACAGGGCTGAAATTCCCCATGTGCAAAGCCGAGTCTGACCGCAGCAGGATGGCAGCCGTCTGCAGCCTGCCCAGGGCAGCCACGGCACCACAGCCGGACCCGCGGGACAGTTCTTGCTGGCTGGGGCTGTACCAGTCACTCGTAGGACATTCCACAGCCAGGAGAAGTGTGAAACAACACGAGACTCCTAGAATGAGCATCCAGTGCTGACCAGCCCCGTGGTGCGTTTTCCTCTCATGAAATGACGGGTCTCCTGGAAACCAAAAGCTATTTCTCTGCAACACTTGAGTCCGCAGAAGGGCTGCTCGGACTGAGGAGTGCCCGAGCTGCACACTGGCTGGAAGCTGGCTGAATATCTGGGGCAAATATCACCCTGTTTGCTACGATCCCTCTTCCTGAAGCATCTGCTGTTGGGTGCAGAGATAAGTCAAGGCAGACCTCTGGTCTGACCCAGTTCTGCCGCTCTTCTGCACAAATCACTTCTGCAATCATGCCGTCTGCTTGGGCTTGAGCAGCAGGATGCATCCTGCAGGATTCCTCTTGGTCATGGTGTCCCTAATGAAATCCTTACTTTATCTACCATGAGATGATTCCCCCACCACTTGGGACCAGCTCCAGGTTTTAGCTCCGGTGCAGATTTTCATGCCCTTCAAAGAGCCCTTCCCTATTCTGAGCACTGCCCACATGCAGTCTGGTGAGCCTTTATCCTGCTCCACAGGAATAATTTCCTTTTCCTTTACAGCTTGCTCATCCAGGTTGGATGCTGGGGTATTTTACTTAACGTGTCTTGTTTGCATCCTTCCTAGCCTGGCAGCTGGCATCTGATGAACTACCTGTGGCAGGAAGAAACATGCTGTAATAATCAGAGGGGAAATCTGGAGGGCTCTGGTTTACTCCTCCGCAGAGGCAGATGCCCACATCCCTTGCACACTAACAATAACTCAGGGCCTGCGTATACAGATGTTCTCAAGCCAGTGCTGGCAAACTTCAGACCCCGGCCATGGAAGATCACTTTC